CATGCCATATGAAAGGTTGGCATGTAATAATAAGTCATGATGACTCTATAGCTAAGAAGGTTTATCATATCTGATCCAGTATCAGAGATGTTCCCATAGTAGAGGGATCAGCATACATGTCACCTGTCATAGTTTTTCTTGGTTTCTTTCTTCATGCCTGAAGCCTAGATTTTCAGGGGGTATCACTCAATCAAATTTGATCTGTATTAATATTGAAGAAATCTATGCCTTTTTGTTTCCTGTGGAAACAAAAGCATAACCTTCGTGCCCCCCCCCACAATGTAACATATTTCCTGACTTCCATCCTGAAGTTAAGATAGTATTGAGATATATAGGCTGATTTAATTCAGTAATTTTCTCCACAATCCAATATCTCTCAGCAGATGCTGTTTTTTTTTTTATTAGCATTTAAAAATTTCAAAGTCAACAGAGTACCACACAGGATCCAGATTCCCTGTTTATTTCCCATCCATATGTGGCTTATTTCTTTTATATTACTTTACTCTCTCTTTATAGACTTCACTTATTATTTTCAAACTATTTATTTTTATGACTTACTATACCCATTTTCTTTTCTTTCTTCATCCCCTGAGCCGATTTTTAAGCATACTGTACATGTTCAGAGGTTTTCTTGGCCTGGACCTGTTTTTTTTCTTTTCTTTTCTGTTCTTTTCTTTCCTTTTCTTTCCTTTTCTCTTCTTTCTTTCTTTGTTTTTTTTTCTTTTATGCATCTGCAACATTTCTCTGACCACATGAGCCAAACCTTAAACAGCTAGGCAGCCGACTAGGCTACATACCCTGTGGCTCTGCCTAGCACATGGTGCTGGTGGCTGGCTCTGCCTGCTTTGGGTCAGTGAGAGCCAAGCATCATGCCTGCAGCCCCGGGCTGGGACTGCATCTATTTGTCCCAGCTCTGGGAAGTTTCTGGGCCTGTGTTGTGGCAGGTATTTCTAACTAGTCCTCCACCAGTAGCATGTCATTTAAGTGCTCTGCTGCATAGCAGGGCTTCTTAAGGAGCTGTGCGTCTGTGTGACATAAGCATTGAGCCTTTCCATGGTTGGCAGAAAGCCTCATCTGACTTTATGTTTGGAACATTTTTTTTTTTTCTTTCTCAGACTCTATGTTTGGGTGTATGGGTCAGGCATACATTTGGGTGCCAAATATAGCAAGTCTTTCTTGTCAGACATCTTTTGGATGGCCAGCTCCCAAATAATGACATGAAGACTTATTATTATGGAAACTTGGCCTTTAGCTTAGGCTTGTTCCGAACTAACTCTTATGCCTTAAATTAACCTATCTCTATTAGTCTATGTTCTTCCACATTCTTTTTTATTTCTCTTCCATTCTGTGCATCTGTCTTGCTGGCTTCTCTCATGGCTAAATTCATCCTGAGTTCCTCTCTCTACACAGAAGTCCCTCCTAACCTCTCCTGCCTAGCTATTGGCCATTTAATTCTTTATGAAACCAATTAGAAGATGTCTTTCACACAGTATGATGAGATATTCTGCAACAATATTCCTATCAAAAGAAATAATCAAGAGTGATTCTTTAGATATGTGCTACTTATGGTACCCTGTCAACAAAAAGCTTCAATATTAGGATATGTCTGTATATTTACTAAGGCAACTTTGGAAGATAACAGCCACAGTAGCTTAAGTCAGTGACAGTCACATTGTCACCACCAGGAGCATGTTTAAGAACACATCTCTAGTGCTATGGAAAAATCTTCATTAATTTATTCTTAGAGGTTTTGAATTTATTGAATTTTTAACTGCTATGTGTCCAATATTCTCTTTGAATTTCTGATAAATCTTTACTCTTAAATTGTTTTCATTAAAACTTATGATCTTTATGAATAAAATCAAGAATGCTCAAATTTTATTCATTATTACAAATTTATTTATTACAAATTTTTGATTCAGTCTCTTTATAATAGCAAATAAAATTTTTATGTGAATAATGTCTAGGTCATCTTGTAGAAGAAAAATATTATATACATTCTGATCTGTCAACAAGTAATACTGAAATGTTGACTGAAAATTATAAAATAGGAATCTTTTTTTATAAACAGTCTTACAGAGTTCTCAGTGGCCTTTTTGAAAACTTGCTAAAAATGAAAATAGAGAAACAAAGAAAAGTAAAATATTGATGTGATATAATTCCCGATGGATCATCTTCTTTAATCCATCTGTGGAAAAATCTCTAGTTTTACTATCATCAAACTTAGTCAATATAAAGGCATTTAAATTTTTAAAAACCTTTTAGAACATTTGGTGCGTGTGTGTTTGTGTGTGTGTGTGTGTGTGTGTGTGTGTGTGTGTGTGTGTGTGTATGCTTGTACGTGTGCGTGTCCATGGGCATGTGCACATGTGTGTACTTGCAAGAGCCAGAGGACAACCTTTGGGAAGTTGATTCTTTCCACCATTTCAGTACAGGGAATGGAACTCAAGTTCTCAGGCCAGATGGCAAGTGTCCTTACCTGCTGAGTCATCTCATTGGTCCAAGATCTTTAGTTTTAAACTGTAAAAATGACAAGGTTATACCTCTTTTTCTCCAGTGAATATAATACTATATAAAACTCGAAACTAGAAATAACCCATGAAATAAAAATTTCAAATTTTTCATTCAACAAAAATAAACTCTATCTTATAAAATAGTCAGAGATGCTTTGTAGCGGCTAAGTTCATTTTGCCACACACTCTTTCTGTTCTCTTGTTGGCATTTTGTCTTCCGTATTTAGGAATTTTCATCTTCTTTTTGTACACTCTCTTGCCCCATCGTTTCCTCTCTGACTCTAACCTTAATGTAAAAACATTAATTTACCCAAAAAAGGGAAATCTTAGGCCTATATTCTTTTCTTACCATTGGCAATATTTGTGTCCAAAGAATGCCTTTTTACTTACAAATACTTTAGCATGAGTTAAAGAAGGAGGCGTTTTGTTGGGCACTAAATTATTCTGTTGCTGTGACTGGGGGCGGGGCGGGGAGACGTGGGCTATGTTAGATGCCCTGTTGAACTTTGCAACTCTCCCTGAAATGAAGCATCAGAAATGGCCTTGCCTTCCCAGATAAGTAATGAAAAAACAGATTCATGCCTCAAACCTGGAAATTGAATCCTTTTGACCTGTAAGTTGACCTAAAATGTAATCAGTGAGAGGGGAAGTTATAAAAATTCCTTTATGTTGTTTCCTAAGGCTTGATATGATCGTATGTGAAAAGACTATCTCAGAAGACTTTGTCTTTAACTTGCTGCACTAGAGTAAGTAAGCATGTTCTGAATTCCAAGAAGGGCTCCACAGCCAGTGTTTGGACCTCTTCAGACAAACTCCAGAAGTACATTTGTATTTTCAAATTAATATCCATGGTGGTTTTATTACAAAATAAGATGAAAGGAATACAAATAACAAAACTAAAATCAAACTCCCTAACACTAGACCCTGTTTTTAAACTTCTCTGTCGAGTCTGGAGTATATTCTAACATAGAATCTGAACAGCATTTAACATGTGTTTTCATGTGGGAAAGAAGAATAGCAGATCCATTTTTCATCTGTATTTGCATACTGTTTTTCCTATTTACATTTAGCTATGATTTTTGCCTCAATTATTCACTTTCTGTCCCTATGTGGGGATGCAGAACAATAAATGGATACAACAGGACAGTTATAACAATAAGCAAGACAAAAACATAACCCACATTCCAGACTTATATAGACCTTTTATTTATCTTTTACCAGCAGACCTAGCATTTACTATTTTTATAATATATTTTAAGTGAACATAAACAGAAGTTAGGTTTACTTCTATTGAAATAGCTCTTTTGTTTCTAGCTTATTTCTGATAACATGTAGTCTTCAGACACATTAAATTGTAACTTTCATAATAAAATGAAGAACATTGTCAAAGGTTTTCTTTAAACCTCTAATTAAAGGGGAATACAGTAAGATATTAAAACATATTCAACTGAGAATCACAAAGACTGATATTCAATATAAGATTACTTTCATTGCCAAGAGCATGGACTATATGTATTGCTGTGTAATGCTGTTCTAGGGAATATGTGCATTATCTTATTTCATCCAAGTAAACTCCTGTCTATCATAAGAAGACTCTCACACAAGCAGATAAACCCACAGGGTACATCATGCAATTCTCAACATTCTCTTCAAAGGATATCCTGTTATCTCCTTGGCACATCTAAAAACTTACATCAATTTTCTCAATTAAGAACATGAAACGTTATACTAGTCTATCATTATTTTGATAAAACACACCAAAGCATCACACTTAGCAGTTTTTAATTAAATATATCTAAGTGAGAGGTGAAATACATGAATTCTATAAAGGTTTTGAGAATTAATTCCTTGTCATTGTGCTTAGCTTTAAATATAAACTAGAGTCTCAATCAATAAAGTGACTATGACTTGATTTTAAACACATGTTGAAATTTACACTGAATTATTAACTATTCTTTCAAATTAGAATAATAAAAACTAGTTTGGGGAAATGGAAGAAAAAGGTTCCCCAGTAAACTTTAATTACTATAAAGGTCAGTATAATTTATCTTCAAGCAGCCGTAATTGTTTATCTGATTTTTCCATTGTTTTTGCAGGCCAGATATTAAAGCATGGTAGATAATTTCTCAGTGTTCTGTTTCTAGCTTCTGAAAATAAAAACTAAGTGATTCAAGTACTGCATCATATTTTGAAATTTCTGTTTACTATTTAAAGTAATATACTTCCTCCAGTGGTGGATTACTGTAGTTATTCATTCTTGGATAAATATTATTAATTATATGCCAACCACTAACAGAAAACTCAGCTTTGGGCATCCTATGACACTTATTTTAACCCTACTTTAAGCTCTGCCCCATAGTTCCATACAAATTCATAATCTACTAGTGTTTATTTATATTTTTCTACTGATGGTAAACGTATCAGAGCTAAGCGTTCACCCAGTCCTGTGCTTCTTTAATGCACACTCAAAGGACGTAATAAAATTACCTTCCATCTAGCTTTATCTCCGCGTCAAGCTCATGAAGAAGTCCTCAGTCCCTTTCCCTGGGACGAAAGGCAGTCAGTTCAACTTATCGGCCAATACAATGTGTTTGGAATATTTCACAGGCAATTAAAGCCACAGGAAAATCTCGAGCTATGCTCTCCTCCTATTGGGAGCTGCACCTTGCCAGGATTTTGCACTGGCACCTCCGTGCCCTCTGGGTTTCTCGGCTCTGTAGGGCACGGCACTTTCATTTCTAGTCACGGATTCTGGTTACCAACCAAGCTGGCAAATAAAAAGTAACTCAGCCGGGGACATTTCACCCACCAGTGAGCTCTGTCTGTAGCTAATTCCTCCCTGAGGTTTCTTTCTCTCCACTAGCAAGTTCTCAAAGGCCTAACGCCAGGCTCCGGCCCGGCGTCACTTGTCTGAGGTTTCAATTAAGATGTGGAAATATCAAAGAAGAAACAAGCAGGCTTGTCCGACAATGCCTCACATTTCTCTCTCAGTTCGAATTCAGAGATGGCAAGATACTAGCGGGGGGAAAAAAAGTGATTCATTAATCCTTGCAACAGACCCAGGAGGTTTAGAGGACAGAAATGATGCCAGCAACAAGATCAGTTTGAATGGGTCCTCTGTTGGTTGTATACATTGGGAGCTGACTGTGAAATCTATTCGGACGGACTGAACCCGATGGCTAACCTCGTGGTGCAAATGTGTTGATCAAAGGCACTCTGTCAGTATCTGATTAAGAGCCATGTAAGAGCACTGAAGACATTTCCTTCTGCTTAACAACTCTGATTACAGGGGTTCCTGGAGTGAGTGTTCCTGTAAGCAGTCAACCAGGTCCCTGGGCTCCAGCTGTAGCTCTAGGGTTTCCCAATGGCAGCGCTTCCTGTTGCTGAAGGCTTCAATTCATTCACAGCTTGTAAATCAGGAGCCTGTAAATCAACAGATCCAGTGACTACCGTTTAAAACACAGTTTCCTCAACAAGCTTCCTTCTGGTTTTGTTTTCATATATCAAGGGCATGAAAAAATAAGTGTCCAAATTTTAACACCTGGTCCATGGGGGCTCAGCAGGAGAGGCATGTTCCACAGAGCTTCGAGGTTTTGTTTTTGTTTCAGTGAAGCAAGGCCTTGGTGGCTAAAGTCATGATAGCATTTACTTAGAGAAGTGATAGGAGCCTACAAGGGAAATATAAATAACTAATGCTGTATTCAATTCAGCAACTCTGACCGGCTAAAAGGAAATGGACAAAGCTATACGTAATTGGAGTTAAGACTCTCACATTTGTTTTGTTTTCCAAAATGGAGCATGTATAAATAAAATCAGAAACAGATCTGACATGTTTCATCCAACTGTTTTGAACACTGTGTTGAAATGTCTGTCAAAATTGGGTGGACACAGGATTGGTTAATTACAGGACATATCTGTCATATCTGTTGGAGAATGATCAATTATACAGAACAAAGCATCAAAAAATTCATCACAGAAAATGTGTCAAGTGTCAGAATTCATCCTTTCGTCTATCATCATAGAGCATTTTGGATGACAACAGATTTTACATAGCCTGTACAATAAAATAATTACTTTCAATCATTCTTATGTTCACTTGAGAATGCAGAATTTTATGTGATATAAATTATAAAATTTATGTTTTGTCAAAAATCAGCATTAGATGATGATACTAAATATCAAAGAAAATTGTTATTTACATTTTACACAGGCCCCCAAACTAAATATAACAAAAATAGAAAAGAAACTTAATCTATGTTCCTTTTCAGAAACTGGGATGATGGAATATCAACTCTGTGTATATCATTGTCCTTAAGCTCTCAGAAAAGAAAGGATGGGAATCTCATGCTTACCTTTAAGCAGACTTCGATTACAAGACTTATGCAGCTCTTAGAAGAAAATGTTTGTAAGCCTGAAGTCCCCCCATTGGGACAGAGAGATGAAGAAACCTGGCTCTATTTTTAGAAAGGAAGGCTAAGACAACTACTAGGATGGCCATACACAACTAACACACAGCGTTGTGTAGCTAGAGTTTTCCTGCCTGACCCACAGCCAGGACAAATCTCTCTCACATGCCAGTCCCACAGCCGCTCAGACCCGACCAAGTAAACACAGAGACTTATATTGCTTACAAACTGTATGGCTGTAGCAGGCTTCTTGCTAACAGTTTTTTTTATCTTAAATTAATCTATTTCTATAAATCTATACCTTGCCACATGGCTCGTAGCTTACCAGCATCTTCACATGTTGCTTGTAATGGTGGCGGCTGGCAGTGTCTCTCTGACCCAGCCTTCACTTCCCAGAATTCTTCTCCTCCTTGTCCCACCTATACTTCCTCCTGACTGACTACTGGTCAATCAGTGTTTTATTTACTAACCAATCAGAGCAAAACATTTGCCATACAGAACATCCCACAGCACTTCCCCTTTGCTTTTTTTTGTCTCAAAAAAAAGGGGGAAAAGAAGTGGAATGGATAGGTATAAGATATTATGGTAGATTATTGTATATACTAGTAAACAAATTTAGTAAAATAGCAGACCTAGGTAATTTGCACTGTAATTTGCACTGTTATGGATTCTTATATGTTGATACAAATGTAAACTATTTTTATATTCCTGTTTAAGATAATTTGTATATTGATACAAATACAGAACTATATTTCTTATAATGTATATATATTTCTACTCTTATTTGAAATATTTGTATATTAATACAAATGTAAATTTGTATGTCATACTGTATGTATGTTCTACTTCTGTTTAGGATATTCTGTATATTGATATATATTTAAGATTATTGTCATATTGCATATTGCACTATACATTCCTACCTCTGTTATAAATATCTTGCTTATTATCATAATTTTGAAGTCATTGTCCTTTGCCGTACATTTGCTTATAGACTGTTTACCTTGTTTACAGGAAGCCTTAGTCCTTAGGTTATTTAGGTAGATAAGACTTACAGATTTATAGTCACCTATGCTTGTCATATCTATAGTTATGTTAGTTAGGTTATCCAGATTTACAGATACATAGGTCAGATGGACAGTTAATCTTCAAACACTTCATGGACCTAGAGAATATGGCATTTAAATAACTTAGAATTCTGTTGACATGAGACACAATTGCTCCTGGCAGCACCAGTTTGATGCCAAGAGAATGTTGGGCTTCTAAGACATTTCCATTTGAAAGTTTGTCTTCTTGGCACAAAATGGCCTATTGGGCAAAGAATTACCCTTGCCTCAACTGCTGACAATACAAGTGCTGTCCTTCTGGACAAGCAGGACACAAGGAAAAGTGACTTCTGAACTCTGCCAAGACAGAGTAAGATGGTCTTTCAGAATTCCTGCTTCTGAAAATGGTCTGTCAGATACTCTAGGCCTGTAGCCAATTTAAATGCACCAACAATGCTGAGAAACATTAGGTGACTGTCCAGGCTGCCAGCTGTCTCGGTCTACTCTTGCAAGATTCCCAAAAGTTGCTTGCATCCATCTTCCATTTCTCAGATACCATTATATTCCTTCTCAGGTCTTTGATGGGATTGAAGACTAGCAGTTAGAGTTACAACTTAGTATATATATATATATATATATATATATATATATATATATATATATATATATATATATAATCTTAGATATACTATATTAAGTATTAGATTCAGGTTATTTAGGATAGGACACCTTTTGGAATGATCTTTGTAACATGCCATTTACCTACGCTCTAGACTCCTCTGGATTTTAGTATGTGTTTCTTGCTTGATATTGTTCACATTGATTGTAGTTCCCATCTTATCTAGGTCATTATCCCTCATTACTCCTGAACAATATTTGATAACCATTCCTTTGTATATAGTCTTGTATTAGGTTAGAACCTTCTTATTTCGACAAAAGCGGGAGATGTAGTGGATTCCAGCTTTGATCTGGAAGTTCCAACCCCCACTGAGGCTTCGAAAACTGTCACGCCTACAAGGTGGGGCCAAGAGAGGACCCTGAAGAACCGAGATCTGGATGCGCCGGCTCTCTTGGTGCCTGGACCCTGGACGCTGGAGATAGACTGAGCAGAGTCCTCCAGAGAACACCGCCAGACTGCGCCACGCCTTTCCCAGACTCTGTGAACTAACCCTTCACTTGTAAGTTACCCCACAAAATAAACCTCCCTTTTAACTACATGGAGTGGACTTAATAATTTCACCAATAGCGTTGTTCTGAAGGGAATTGATTTAGCTTCCTAGGCAAAAACAAAAAAAACAAAAAAAAACAAACACACAAAAAACCCCCACATAATTCTCTAGAGAAATATCCAAGGACCAGAGAAATCGGCAAAGTCACTGAGAGGGCATATTTTACTTGCAGGTAAAAATGTATTAGTATGAACAGTTTGAAACACAAAAGAATTGAAGGAGCAGGAAATAACTAACCTCTCCAAGACATTTGGAGAAAAGAAAGCATAGATATGGGAAATGCCCTTCCCTAACGATAGAGGAACAAGACTGTCCATAGCATCTGGAGCTCCCATCCTAATGGAGGGGAAGTGGAGTGAGTCTCAGTGGGGCTGGGACTTTGAGTAGACAGCATGGAAGCTGAGCCTTCACTATGTCTTACAGCTGATGTTAGCTGACAAGCAACTATACATTTCTATGTAAGTCGACAAACAGAAGCAGTTATTGTCCTTTCATTGTCTTCAATGCTAACATTTTAGCTGCTCCCTGGATCCTCATATCCTCTTTACGTCTCTACCACTCCTTCCAACCACTTGCTACTTAGTTTCTTTATTGGAACACTCCTACTCTTTCCAAATATAAGTTGAAGTTTCATAATTAAAAAAACTTGTTTTCATTTATTATTCAATCCATAGGCAAGTCTTAAAAGAAATATACATTTCCTCTTAATTGAGGAGAAGTTTTACTTTTGAAAACACATTTATTACTATTTCTTTATTGCTGTATTTCTTGCTTATGTCCCAAACATAGGGCATATAGGGCAGCTCTTCATCTATTCCTGCTCGCTACAGGTGTGTCAAAGCTCTTCTCTTATTGTCCATCAAAAATGTGCTTCATGATTTTTTGTAACTGTTCATAACTGTGGTTTCTCTGATTCACTATATCCATCATATTAAGAATACTGTCAACACGCATTCTTTTAGTCTTCATTGTTATAATGTATGTTTTTAAGT